TACTTCATGGCAAAAAAGGAATATATTTCCTGATGCACTGTCATTGGAGAAGGCTTTTGAGCAAATTTTTGCAGTGCTAAATTAAGAAAATCCCTATTGGCTAATAAAATAGTTGCCTTGGTGAAGTCAAAACAAAAAGTGTCTCGGAGTGCTTGCTGTGGAGGGAAAGCTGCTAACACGAATGGGAGGAAAAAAGTTCTCCATTGTTGTTTGGCTGTCTGGCAAATTAGTGTTTACCATTGTCCTTGGTTTCTGTTTTCCTGCAGATTGGAGAACTGTGATGTCACTGCTGATAGCTGTGAGGACCTCAGTACTGTTCTCAGCACAAAGCCATCATTGACTGAGCTCTGTATAGGCGAGAACAAGATTGGTGATACTGGTGTGGCACTCCTGTGCCATGCTGTGCTAAATCCAAATTGCAAAGTACAAAAGCTGTGGTAAGTGTCTTGTTTGGGGCAGTGGCATATTAAGCACAAGCTGTCACAGAGCAGAATTGACTGAGCTTCTCACAGGGTAAGCCAAGGACTCCTGCTGGGAAATGGGTTGCAGTATACTGGTGAATAGTCACACCACCAGGATCAGGTATTACAGACAAAGGAGCAGTGAGCCCAAGAGCCAGGTCTGGTTAATCATGTGGCACAAGTCTGAACTGAAATTCATACCTTTATTCCTGCCTTGAGTCCTGGTTTTGGGGTAAAGGTTGGGTACACATAAAGCGTTGTTGTTGTTACTGCTACTACTAAGACTCCCTTATCTGGAAATCTGAAATATTCCAAAATCCAAACATTTTTTCATAGGTGACACTTTTGCTTTCTGATGGTTCAATGTACACAAGCTTTGTTTTATGCACAAAATTTTAGAAATGTTGTATAAAACAAGGCTATGTGTATATGAAACATAAATGAATTTTGTGTTTAGACTTGGATCCCATCTCCAAGATGTCTCATTATCTTGTTGTGTGCCTTCAAGTTGTTTCCGACTACCCTAAGACAAATCTATCACAGGGTTTTCTTAGCAAGACTTTTTCAGAAGGGTTTTTGTCAGTGCCTCCTTCTGAGGGGGGTTGCAGACTGCCAGAAATAGTGCAAATTGAGTCCACTTTTAGGGTTAGGGTTAGGGAATCATGGGAACAGTATTTTATTGTTGCATCAGAGTTCTCTGACAGAGAAGGCTCAATGTCTCAGAAAAAAAAAAACAATTCCCATGATTCCCTAATACTAACCCTAACCCTAAAAGTGGACTCAATTTGCACTATTTATGTCAGTCTGCAACCCCCCTGAGTGAGTGTGACTTTCCTAAGGTCACCCAGTGAGTTTTTCATGGCCAAGCGGGGATTCAAGCTCTGGTCTCCAGAGTCATGGTCCAACGCTCAAACCACTACACCACGCTCATTACATACATATATGCAAGTACAGGTATTCCAAATTTCCCCTCAAAAAATCCAAAGGAGAATCAGCCTATACTATTACTGTTCCCACAAGCCTGTTTTCCCTTGTAGAAGCATTCTTTTGAGGCAACTCAAATAATTAGGGAAAGATTACATATATTTCTCCCATCTTTAGATTACACTTTTACAGATTTGTACCTGTAGTAATCCATTACATGTAGAAACAATATTGGCAGAAAGAACTCAATGCACACAATTTTCACCTCTAATTTTAAAATTTGCTTTAAAAAGTTATTTTTCTGCTAATGTGAATAAGGACAATGAACCTGAATTCTACATATTTGTTTATATAAATAGCCATCAAACCTTCCTGCATCAGATGCATTGGTAAAGAGTTCTAGCCCCATGATATGTGTTCATGAAGTTTCAGTTGTATCTTGTATGTTTGCCTTTGAATTCTCTGGTGCTTGTATTTAATGCAAACGAAACTGAGATAGCTTCAGTGGCAATTCTTATCTGTGCTGACTTAATACAACAGTGTTAAGCTTGTGTGGACTGTAAGAGTCCAACATAGTGCATGCTAGCTCAAGACAGTGTATTGAATCTGTAAAGTTTCTCAGATCTATTAACCGTTGTGTCTGTTGCTCTGAAATGACTTATTTCAGGTTATGGGAATGTGGTATCTCAGCTAGTGGCTGCAAGGACCTCTCTAATATTATTGGTACTAAAGAGACTCTCAAGGAAATGAGTCTGATTGGAAATGATCTGAAGGATGAAGGGATGGAATTCTTATGTCAAGGACTGAAGAATCCAAACACTAAACTTCAGTCACTTTGGTAAGTACTTAGAGGCTTTGTTTTATAATAGGCAGGTGTAGGTGACTTGAGCCCAGTCAAGCTTCTTAGGTGATTAACATTTAGTTTCTGATCCCAAGAATTCCCTCATACAATATTTCTTCAAGAAGTCAAGTTTTGGGGAAATGTTAAAGTACTTGATCTCTCTAGCAGAGTAATGAAATTTGCAAGACAGAAGCTAAATAATAACTGGTTTCCCACTTACCCACTCACACATATACAGTGTCTGGCAGAGAAATAAATAAACTTAGTTTTCTTTGTAAAACACACACACATATGAATGTAATTTTACTTACAGTACTTGTCCATATTCAAATATATGGTATAATCAAGGAAAGAGAGAAAGAGAAGAGAAAAAATGGCTACAGGTTAGAGTGAGATGCAGTAAGAGAGGGAGTGTTGTAAAGCAACAAACAGACATGAAGCCTGCAAACATGCACATTAGCAATCTGTGAGCAAAGGGATACAAAGATTGCTAACTCTAACATAAGTTGAAGCAAAGGTCTCAACTTTACTGTGAACAGTAACAAAGTAACAGTAATAAAGTTTCTTCCTATTTATGCTCCACCTCAATATCTGCTAAGGCATGATGGGGAACCTTTGGTCTGTTGGCCAGTTTGGGTTACAACTTTCACAGTTGCTCCACACCTGCCATGTTCATGAGGCTAATGGGAGTAGAAATTAAAAACATCTGGAGTTTTTCTTCCCTACACAGAGTTTAAGGTCTATCTGAACAGGCATATGTGTCTGAGGGCTCTATCAAAGTCTGTGTTGCAGTTCACATGAGGGAAGATGATTTGTGTTCTTGGCACATGTGGAGCAGGGATGGGTAGGTGGAAGAACATCACTAACCCTTTGGGGTTTTGTTCCATATCTCCTCCATTGGAAAAATCATTGCTTGTCATCCTGCTTTTATAATTGGCTTCAGAGAGGGCAAGAATGTTCCAAGACACAGGGCAAAGACCTTTCTAGTTGCGAAATGTCAGGACTGTCAGAGGTAACTCCTTATTTGTCTTTTGTAGGATGAGAGAATGTGGTCTGACCGGAGCCTGTTGTAAGAGCCTTGGCTTGGCTCTCAGCGCAAACAGTGTATTGAAAGAGCTACACATTGGGGGCAATAAGATTGGTGATACAGGGGTGGTTCAGCTCTGTGAGGGAGTCCTGAACCCCACCTGCAACCTACAATCCCTTTGGTAAGTGACTTTCTAGATATGTTACCTTCTGAACACAGCAAAAAAGGGCACTGCATACGCTTTTTGATGTAAGAACATCTCTTTGCATGGAAGGAGCTCTCCTTAAGCTATTCTGATTGGGATTCAGGTGCCTTTGCATTAAAGTTGGCCATCAAATCTCTTCCATGGACACATTTTCTGTATTGTAGCATACTTGAAAAGGGGCCTGTGACTGAAGTGCCCTGTATATACAGTGGTACCTCTACTTACAAAATTAATTCATTCCAGCAGCCA